CTTTCTTGGCCTTCGCGAAATATAATATTTTGTCTTTGTGGCAAATGAATGTCAAGACGAATTATAATATGAGACTGAAAATGCATAGGAAATTCATATATTCGCCACATAGCCTCAGTTGATCCCACATATCGACCATTCAAAAAATTTCTAACGTCATCTACTTCAACTTGTACTTGTTAGTCATTTTCGTTTGTGCTTTCACTTTGAATTAAAACAGTTGCACTATCAAAACCCTTATATACATATTTATATATGTACTTAATACTTTTGACGGAAGTGCACACCTCGACATTAATGTGACAATTATATTTTGCAAACAAATACGGGTTGTATGGAACGACATAACGATTATCTAAAGACTTTCCTCTAACATCAACGGAAACATTATTATCGCGCCGTCTATACAACGGATAACCATTAACTGATTCTTTCGTTAATTGTACAAAATCCTTTGGAAATTGTTTTGAACATTTTCCATCTTGCATACATACAGAGCTTGGATTCAAAACACCGCATGGACCGTGCATCATGTGTTTGACAACAAATTCATGTAATTTTGGCTGCAAATTTTTATCCGGTATCTCTGCACAAACTATTTTATCAATATCAGCCGGCCCGACAATTTTGTCATTTTCACATAAAGTTATCAAACTGTGAGCATGAGGCAAACCTCTTTTTTGAAATTCGATTGTATATATAAGAGCCTCAACTTTGCCAAAAATATATTTATTCCAAATGTCAGAAATGAGTTCTTTTAACTTCGATTTAAATACACGCACAACTATTTCAGGCCTGAAATGAGATGATTCATTAGGATCAATATTATATACAATTTCCGCCCAATTCTGATTGCAAGTCATTGTAACAAAAAGCGATGGCTTGCCGAAGTACTGAACAATTGACATTGCATCTAAGTAATTTTGATACATGTTTCTCGGAGACCCAGTGAAGGATGAAGGCAAAATCACTTTACGACCTAAGCTACCATCTCCTACTTGATTCGTTTGCAAATAATCACTAATATTGTTATACACATCTGCCCTCAAATTTACTTGATTCTGTCTTATAAAATGTAGTCGACATACTTCTATTCTCACATACATATCAACAATGTATTGCAAAAATAGTTTTTGCGATTTATGCAAAAAGCTAAATTGATCCCTTATTGCAAATCTGAAGCATGCAAATTGTAACATTGTAACTTTATTTCGAATCTGCCTACCATTAGAATTATGTTGCACGTTATGCGATATATTAACGTGCCAACCAAAATCTCCATTTGGGAATAGTAAAGGATATGCCAATGGTTCCAAAGCAGAATCTAATACTAATACATTCTTAACTACACCATTTGTTTTTAAAAAAGATATCATATTTCTCTCAAATGGTGGTTCACCATCTATAGTCGTAAATATTATATCTTCGTATATCTGTATCACGATTCACGATAATTGCCATACAAATCTCTTTTTGTGCATTGCATACTCTATCATAATGTTCTTTCATTGTACAAAATGAATATCTCTCGAATTGAAGTGTTGTTAATGTCGATTCAACCAATTAATTAACCTTAACTATCACACAATTCACAATTAAAATTCATCACAATTAAAATTTAACTATCACACAATACACTTGAAATAAATCTAAAAATTTCAAACTCATTAACCTTAACTATCCACATTTCACAATTAAAATATATCACAATTAAAATTTATCAAAATTAAAATTTATCACAATTAAAATTTAACTATCACACAATGCAAATAAAACGATTGATATCAAAGGATATTTCCACTTCAATGCGTTTTTTTTATTCACACACAATATTTGAAATTTAATGAGCTTTAAAAATCTGATTGTAACAGAATCCACAAAGTCCAAACACACAAAGTCCAAACACACAAAGTCCAAACACACAAAGTCCACTTTTTTCCAAAAGTGGAAAAAAATCGCACACACAAATCCACCGTAAACAATTAACAATTCGTCACAAAAAAAAACTTTGAAAAACACATGTATTTTGTTGTTGTAGTCGCTAAATTTACGCCAACGCATTTTTACCTGTGTTTCCGTTAACGTACATGCAAAAAATAACGTTGTGCTCTTCTGCACGTCTTCACCTTTCCAACGGTATAAATTTTATCCATATATGTCAACGGCAACACAGTTAAAACGGGGTAACAAACTTTTATGTTAGCGTAATTATATATAGATAATGTAATATATGCATATTTGTTCCAAACAATTTGACTTTAGAAACAGAAGCATATAGTTTTATGGAAACGCAAGCACTGTGAACAAAACAAAACAACAAATTTGCAACATCAACGACGTATTTTTTGTGCTATAATATTGTGTTTGTATGTATAGCTTTTTCACTGAAAGTGAATAATGCAACGTAAAAACCAAATGCCACAGATGAATTATTAAAATTTATGAAGAGTAACATATTTATTGATTTGAAGTATACTTATAAGTTTTTAATATAAATTTTGCAACAACAACGATGTCGTCTTAAGCAAATAATGATAAAAAGGAACTATACACTGCAAATGAATTATTGAAAATTTAAAAATATAACATAATTATTGATTTGTAATATATTTATAAATTTTTATTAAACATTTTATTAAACATATAATAAAATAAAATTGAAAATCGAGCAAATAAAATAGTATCGAGTATTATTTAGTATTCCATTATTCATCAATAAATAAATGTACCTAAAATTTTGCTAAAATTGCTACAAAACTTTTGATTATAAGAATTTTTAATTTTATTAAAAAGACTATAAAACTTTTGAATATACAACTGTAGTGATTTTATATTTTTTTCCTAAATAAAAGCTTTATTTAAATATTTATTAAATTAAAATCTGTTCGCAATCGCATTTTTATGTAAAAAAAAATTTACTTAATAAATTATAATTCACCGAATAGTATACATCATTCTTTTATAAATATATTGGTTTACCACCCTGTATATAAATTTTAGAAAATACTGTCTGATTTTACTTTTTCAAATTTGTCAATTTCACTTAAGTTATTAATAGTCAATTTTTGAAAAATTAAAAAATTAAATTTATTATTTGACAACTGAAAAGCGAGACACACTATACAGTATACAGTATGTGGGTCAGTGGTGGCGCGTCTTCGAAACATTATAAAGCATTATGGGAACCATAGCTGCAGTTACATATCTACCTATGAGCATATATCATAGCAAAGTATGTCCAAAGTTTCATCTTATAGATGGTTAAGTGCTTAATCGATTTTAATTTAATTGCTTATGTACAAATAACACAAAGTAGCCTGAACCGTGTCATATCCGAACGTATGTTTTGGATTGTTGAAATTTTCAGATATGTTTAAAGAATCTAAATAGCGTGGGTGTGTGACTGTCACAATTTACAAATGTTATAAACATAAATTGTGTAAATTGAATTGTTGTTTTAAAATTTAATAAATTGACATTTAATGTATTGTATTATTGCATTAAATTCTATAAGAATGAAAATTTGATGAAAACAAAAATAAAAGTTTTGTAAGAAAAAAAAAAGGCAAGCTAAATAATTAAGCAAGTTGTCAATAAAATCCATTAAACTTTTTTAACAATTTCATTTATTTAATGAAAAGAACTAAATTAAATTAAATGAAATTAAATTAAATTAACACACAGAAAAATTGCATGAAAAAAATTATACGTGAACATATTATGTATTGTATATTATGTATATTGTTTGTATGTAAGTGTATTTAGATGTATTCATTTTGTAGAAAAAAAGTATCTATTTTTTCTTGCAAACTTTAGTGTGAAGTGCCTGAGCAAGTTTTTCACCTCATCTCCAGTTTAAAGTGTTGTTTTATGGCTTTAAGGCTGTACACTTGGTTGAGACCACCTTGGTTGTGGCACCAATTGCTTTTAAATTGTACCACCAATGTTGTTAATGTGTTGTTGTTTGAAGCTCTTTTGCTGATTACCTATTGACAACTGTAACTTCAACAAATACTCGGACAGACAAAATGGCAGGTAGATAGATAAAAGCGTAAACCAAAGGAGCAGCAACTGTTGCTGCCTAACAGACGAAGCGACAAATTGACATGCAAATATGTCGCAAATGCTGTGAATGTTGCAAATGTTGCAGATCCACAAGATCTTGTCAATGTGTGTAAATTTAATTTGACTTGGAGCATATTTAGCGTTTTGACAGTTTGTTTTCAACATTAAATACCTGAAGGCTTAAAAATTTTAATTATTTCATTACAATTACAACAAACTTTAAAATATCTGTTGAATGAAGAACACTCAAAGTTGATATAAAATTATTGTTATGTTGTTGTTTTGAATATTTATAAAATAATATAAATAAAACTTCAACCCTATAAAGGATGATGTTGTGAAAAAAAACAGTAGAATAAGTATATAATATAAATGTGATGTAAATATAAATACATATAATGTAAGTATATTTAGTATATTGAAATCCTGAACTGTTTACCTACATCCAAATAAAGTATATAATCTTATTTTAATATAGAAATACATAATAAACAAAATTATCTAAAGAAACATATATATAATAAATACAATATATTCATCATATTATATCAGTTCTCTAATATGTATATTAAATAGTTTTACTATTAATTTCACTAATCATATTAATTAAAATTTTTATTCTTCATTTTTTAGGTGGCGTAGCCCCTGGAACACCATCTGCGGCCATGATCATGGAAGGGCTTGAAACCCTAGTGGCGCCATCGCATCACGCATTCCTACTTACCGAATCCGCTGCAGCGGCACATTTTAATGTATTGAGTTTCGATACATGCCTCTTCAAGACAACCGCACAAACTAGTCCCTCGACAGCGGTCACCTCTGCAGCTACATATTTAACAACACCCTCAAGTTTTGGGGGTGGTCATTTAGGCGCACAAACACTATTGCACTATAATCTCTCATCGAATAGTAATCATATTACTAGCAATAATACCAGTAACACTGTATCACCGGTTGCTGCAACAGTCTCAGTAGCTGCACCTAATAATAGCAACAGTGTTTTGAGTGCTAATATACCACGTTCAGGTATAGCACGTTCCGCAACAGCTACACCCACTCAACAAGTAGTTGCCACAAGTGTTACACATCCCGCAGCATTATCCACAACTGTAACAGCTGTCGCTGCTGGACAAGTGAATGGTAATACCAATACAAGTGGTCGTAATTCAGCACACTTAAGTCTTTTAAGTACCAGTCAACATAGTCCGGATAGTGTTGCCACTGTAACTGGTAACGTTGATACGGTAGTTGTAAAGCAAACACAAATTGACGGACAGTGTGTTGAGGCTCAGCCAGGTGATTTGAATACACCTGTTACCACTTCAAACGATATACCATCATTTTTTGGTCCAACAACAGTAGTTGAACCACCACCAATTACAGGTGAGTCATTGTAAAGAAATTAATTTAAAGATTAGATTAAGGGAATATAACCAAAGTCAACATAAAAACAATATATAAACGTACGATTCAACAAATCTTAAAATAGAGTTTTTCACTAAAGGAATATATAACTTATAGCATTTTACTAACAATATGAATCAATTCAGATGAGAGAGAGAAAAGTTTCGAAAAATGTATAACGTATAGTGTATAAACATGTTTTAAATAGAGTTTCTAGTTGGATATTAAATATATGGTAAAGTTTCCATAATAAAAGCAAAACATCCTTTTTGATATGGATTCCATTTTAATAGGAGATCTGTAGCCTGCTACCTTCTTAATGTTTTAAGCTTAGGCCTTTTCTTTACCACATTCCTTTTAATATTGGAGAAGTCTTCGTGTGTTTTATATTCGGGTGGTTGAACATATGCATTGGTTACACAGGTTGAATATAGAAACAAATTAGAAAATTTCTTTTGAGATGACAAAAATCATTAGCAAAAATAAAAGCATGTGAAGCTTATACACCAATTAAAAAAAATCTCTTTTTTGCACAAAATAAGCTTTCTCTCACATATGTCAACTGGGAGTATAAATGAAAGCTTAATTGTTTATTTTTTTTACTATTTACAATATTATAGTGCTTGGTGTATGTTATAATTATATATTTTTTGAAGAAAAGATGTTGCTTTTACATTATGTTATCTCATCTTGATCTTATCAGAAAATAATTTTTCATATAATTGCATGGATTTAATTTATAAAGAAGAAAAAATATGGAGCCTTCCTAAATAAAACCAAAGTATATTTAAACCATTATATATAACTGGTTTAAATTATAGCTAAATTTATTGTAGTATAGTAATATTAGTAGTATTAAAAATTCAATTTAATTAATATAAAATTTTATTACTGCTGTTTTTTTTTTAATCAAATTTAATTAAGCATGCAAAATTTTATACCCTCTCTTTATAAAATTTGATATGTCATATATTTTAATACAAATATATTCAATTTGTTTTTATGTTATATTCAACATTTTACAAATTTTTATGTATTTCACTGAAGATTGCAATTTCAAAGTAATTGAACTACGTTGTAATAGAGCATTTGAAAATATACATATATGATGTAAAAAGCTTTAAATAATAAAAATAAAATATTTTTATTTTGCATATTAACTAATTTTTGGAGTTTAATATTATTTAATTTTAATTAAATACTGAAATTCTATTATGCTTTTGAAAATAAATTTCAACTTAAGTCTGTTCTTGGTTTATAGTTTTGTAAATATTTAGTATAAATACTTAACAATTCTCTTAAGTGTACTCACTTATTTAGAAATATTGAATATATTTTTTGGAGATATAGTATTTATTCAACTTATAACGTTTACAAACGATTTTCATTATAGACTGAATCCAAATTGTTATGTTCAGCTTTTCTATATAATGACAATAATGTTTTTATTAATCATGCCCTTCCATTAAAAATTCACTTAAGATTTTTATATATTTTAAGCAAATCACTTAACAATTTTAAACACTAAAAGCACTAAACATTAGTAAAATAACATAAGTAATAGCAAATAAAATTTTTAAAAAATATAAAAATGTAAATAAAATAAATCACCGTTCTTAGAATTACATTTTAATTAAAATAAATCCAAAAAAATCTCTTAATCTATAGCAGACAAAATTATTAACTTATAGTAAGTTAAGTTAATGTTGATGCGAATGAAAAAACCAAATAATTTACACATAAAAAATTTAATTATTATTGCCGCATATATTAAACATTTCCGTTCAGTGTCAATGTTTCTTAGGTTTTATCGCTGTACCCCGAGTCTCTCAGACCGCAAACGCCGTAGTACGCATAAGAGACTCTGCTATGAAATTAAAAAAGTGTATAATTGCATGACATATGCACAAATATACTTCTAATTGAATTAAAACTGCTGTTCTGTAAATATATGCGATATATAGTTTAGTTTTCTCATTAAACAATATAAAAACAATTGAGTTTAATTGATGAAATAAATTAAGCAAGAAAATATTTACTTAAGACAAGCACAGTTCACAGATATCAAATGCATTAAAATCTTGTATCTTATAGACTATGAGCTGAAAAATGAACTAAAATATTTTGTTTAATTAATAAACATAAAAGGTGAACAAGACTATTTGCATCAGACTATATTATTTATAAATACGAACAAAAGTTTGTTAAAGAGTATATCAAATATTTCAGTGTAAGTATAAGATATTATATAAATTTCAACAATTTAAATAGTAATATATATAGTAGTTCACACCATATGACAATAGATTTTTATTGTACTATGAGATTAAGTTATATTCTGGCACAGTCAAGTAATTAATTCAATTTTGGGTTTATCACTTTATTATTATTAGTATAGTATATTATCAGATATCGTTTCTCATCACTTCATCATAATTGTATATTGAAGAAAATATTCGATTGCATAGTCCAGTTATCTAACCGACAGCCACCTATTAGCATAACTAGTATAAGATATTTTACAAGCCCATATTATTAATTTTTCTATTTAAAAAAAAATATTACCCATCTGGTCTGTCACTGCTTAGCACTCGCCAGAAGTTCTTTACTTTTCATCTTCCTTTCTAGAATCTCTCCCCAATACCACAATAACTAATATCATAGACATTAAAGATATGCCCTACCTTAATATATGACAAAATGGTTTCTTGGTCCAAAATAGGATTTATCTTTCAATAGTTAGTGTGTCTATACTATGGTATCACAATGAGCCAAATTTTTAGCCCTATTCTAAATTTCATTCAGATATGTAGAGATAACATATGGTGGAACATTCCGATCTTGTGTAACATCTTTAATAAAAATATTAGTTTATTTTAAGCTAAATGTTATTCGGCTAGTAGTGTTTCATCAATATCAAATGAAATTAGCTTTTGTTGTAATGACTGCAGAATTTATGATAACATAATTTAACTTCATAACTTTTTGAAATAAATCGGTACAGTAGATTTTCACAATTGAGTAACTGCTTTAATTAATTAATTAATTACTCTATTAAGAGAAAATATCTGATTTAAAACCAATTTATTCAAACCTTATGCCAGCAGCTTATGTCAGAATTTTCAAAGCCTTTATTTATAGTTAAAATCTTAATTCGGTTTCATTATACTAAACCATTTCAGTTGAATCTCTTTGAGTCAGAACCAATTTGTATCTTGGTTTGGTTTCATTACACTAAGACGTTATTGTTTAAAATGGCTTTGAATTCAGAATCGATTAACTATTCGGGTTGAAGTTACAATTGATGGTTGATGAGTGCTGGTTTAAAATTGCTTTGATTCGGAACCGATAAACTATCCGGGTTGAATTCATAAGTCATAGTTCGAATCTTGGTTCGGTTTTATTACACTAAAACATTTTGGTTCAAAATTCCTTTGGGTCAGCACCAATTCAATACCCTGGTTGACTTACAATTTTGTCTATGCTTCGAAATCCTTTCTCAATTTATTATATGTTATTCTATTACCATCAACAATAGCCTCAAAATGAATGCATTTATTTTCAGTTTTGATTTTATATTTGCTAATATATCAAAATAATGTTAATAAAGTTGTATTGTGTGTACATAAAATATAAAATTTTGTGTCGTAAATTATTAATATTTCTTTTTCAAAATAAATATATAAAATTTTTATTAGCTACCAGAGAATATATGTGTAGAATCCGTATAAAAAAAAACTGTCGCCATAAATTTTACAAAACATTTAATTTCAAAAGACTTAAGAATCCCACACAATAAGGCCAGGGTATATGACAAAAAAATAAGAAACTACGGAACGGAAAATTATGCTATTAAACAATTTGAGCCAAAAAAAAAAAATTATATACTCATACTGAAATATATGAGCTATTTTAACATTAAACAAACCAAACCAAACAATGTTGACAATAGCAGAAATCATTTTCATTTGCTTAAAGAAAAAAGAAAAAAATAGCAAAAATATATATAATTTTCTTTATTTTTTAATAAATTCTATAAATTTTCATAATGTTTCAAAACAAAAAGACAAACTGGCACTTCAGTCTTTGGAAGACACTGGCACTTTGCGACAAGCGAATCAGCATTTGCGCTCGGCAATTGTTGCGAATATTTTCGCTTTGGACATTGATAAAGCAGCTTTTAATCGCTAAAGTTGGCAACAAAACGCACATAATTTATGTCAAATATGAGTATTTGCTTAAGACTCTGCGCTGTCCTGCACACTTCAGACAGTTTCCTAATAATTCTTTTCGTATTTTATGCGATTTTGCCATAATAATAACAGCAATAAGTCAAGTGAGCATACACAAGAGCAAAGCACGCGCTTCAAGCCATAAAGAAACTGCAAGGATGCATCCAAAGTGGCTTAAGCCGACAATCGCGCTGATTGCCAACAGCGGAGTAACTGGTAACAAGAAATTTTTGGTAACAGTTGAACAAATCACTTAAAAGTTAATAGTCAGTTTTTAGTCGTATATTGTGTCATTTATGGTTTATTTGAATTATGGTAGCCAAACTAAATATACTTCAATTTAGTACTTATTTAAAGGAGCATAAATTTAGTTTTGCTCCCCTGGTCTCGTTTGACTCCAGAAACCTGTAAGTGAAAGCAACGAGATTGTTAATTGAAGCATTCAAAATCAATTTCAAGGCTCATGCATAATAACGGGCTGTCAAGTAAGAGCCAGCGGGTTTACTTCTTAAAGTGCACGTTCATCAAATGCACAATAGACTTGTGCGAGTGGTATGACTATATGTGTGCATATAAATACAAATATACATTCATTTCATGATCGTTAAACTCATTATGGTTAACTGCTTTAGTTTACAATAGACATTTTTTAACTTCGTGTCATATTGCAGTTTTTGTGATTTCTAGCGAAAATATGGTACTTTACATAGATCATTTAGAATTAGAGCTAATCGTGGTTTAAGATTG